ACAATCTCCCAGATAGAATGTGATTGGTCAGAATGTTGTTGTGGCATAGGAAATGATGAGCTGGTAGATTTAGAAAAAATATGTAGAGAGTTGGACTTATAAAGGAAGATGCTATCTACCTACAGAGAAACATATTAAAAGTGGAAATAAGCATAATACAGATGTACATATATGCATTTGAGTATATAAGTATATATATGTGTATGTTTATGGATATCTATATGTATGTATAAAAATGTGCGCACATACATATATATGTGTGTGTATGTGTGTGTATCCGTGCTTAACTGTAGAATTCTTGAGGGGGGAGGGGAAAATGAAGTAAAAAATGAACAGCAGAGGACAAAAGAAAACATACAAGGAAGCAAAGAAAATATGGACAACTTTGAAAATAATGTGTAGTATTTGTTATATAGGTTTTCTTGAACTGGAAATTTATTGCTTTATATTGAATCCTCTCTTATGTTCTGCTGTGTACATGGCAATATTTTTTTCTTTTCTTGTTTTGTATTTAAGTTTAAAATAAATACAAATATAATGAAAAAAAGTAACTATAGACAATATAAAATTCTTGGCCGTCTACTTTCCAACAAAAACCCAGGAACTATATGAACACAGTTACAAATCACTTTTCACACAAATATAGTCAGATCTAAACAACTTGAGAAATCTTAATTGTCATGTGTAGGCTGAGCCATTATAATAAAAATGACAATTCTGCCTAAATTAAATTACTTATTCAGTGCCATACCAATCAAATTACTCCTCCAAAAATTATTTTATAGAACTAGAAAAAAATAATAAAATTCATCTGGAAGAACAAAAAGTCAATTATATCAAGGTTATCAATGAAAAAAATTGTGAAGGAAGGTGACTTGGAAGTATCAGATCTGAAATCGTATTACAGAGTGGTCATCATCACAACAATTTGGTACTGGCTAAGAGATAGAGTGGTAGATCAATGGAATAGATTAGATATACAATACACCGTAGGACATGACCATACTAATCTAGTGTTTCATAAACCCAATGATCTAAGATTTTTGAACAAGAAATTACTATTTGACAAAAATTGCTGGAAAAACTGGAAAGCAATTTGACAGAAACTAGGTATGGACCAAAATTCACAACATACCCTAAACCATGATAGACAATTGTAAATTAAAACAACTCTGAAGTACTACTTCATATCTATCAGATTGGTTAATATGACAGAAAAGGAATATGACAAATGTTGGAAGGGATGTGGAAAAACAAGGACATTAATGCACTGTTGGTGGAGTTGTGAACTGATCCAACTATTCTGGAAAACAATTTGGAACTATGCCCAAAGGGCTATAAAACTGTGCATACCCTTTGACCCAGCAATACCACTACTAGGACTATACACTAAAGGGCTCAAAGAAAAAGAAAAAGGACCTGTATATATAAAAATATTTATAACAGCAATTTTTGTTGTGACAAAGAATTGGAAATTGGGGAATGGCTGAACAAGTTCTGGTATATGACTGTAACATAATATTATTGTGCTATAAGGAATATCAAACAGGGTGGTTTCAGAAAAAAACCTGGGAAGATTTATGTGAACTGATATGAAGTGACATGAACAGGATCAGGACAACATTGTACACAGTAATAGCAATATTGTATGATGATCAACTGTGAATGACTTAGGTATTCTCAATACAATAATTCATGTAATACAATAATTCCTGAAGGACTTATGATGAAAAATATCCACTTCCAGAGAGAGAAATGATGAACTGTGAATGTAGATTTAGGTATGCTTTTTTTTGTTTCTTTATTATTTTTGCTTTTTTGGTCTGCATTTTCTTTTGGAACACAGTTAACATGGAAATGTTTTGCATGACTGCCTATGTGTTATCTATATCAAATTGCTTACCTTCTCGAAGAGGGGCTTGGGAAGGAAGAAACAGAATTCGGAACTCAAAATTTTAAAAAAATGAATGTTAAAAATTTTGGTTACATGTAATTAAGGAAAAAATGAAAATTAAATGTAACAAAAAGAAAAGTGAATGCACCAGCCTGAATCTTAATCAAGAAAGAAAAGGGGAAAAAAATCACAGTGAGTCATTCTTCTAATCCAGGTAGGCACAGAGAGATAGACATCTATAGACATTGAAGAGAGGAGCTAGTCAGGAGAGACACCTGAAGACTTTTAGTACTAGAACTAAATGAAAATCTGTAGCAGTACACTAGGAAAGAAAGAAGTTCCAGATCCAACAGAGAAATATCTTTCGTTGTACAGAGAGCAGAAGAGATTCCAATCTGCAGCTCAATCACTCATTACCCATAGTTAGGTCATAGATCAAGACTCAAGACAGGACCTGGAACTAAGTGTGGTAGAGAAGGAACAGTTGCTGGGACTTGTGCCTTGGAGTGGTGAGCCAGGGCAAGGGTGGTCTCAGCCTGATGCTATATACTAGATAAGAAATAGGAACTAAAGCTAGCAGCAACTGTGTGACATGGAGGTTTGAGATGTAGCCCCCAGCCCAGTCTGAAGCTTGCAACTGATAACCAAGGCACTGAACTCAGACAGAAGAGGAATCTTAAGTTCTGTTTTGCTAAACATGCAGAGCTTTCCAGAGCTGACAGAAGTTGGGTTCAGTATCAGTCTATTAGATCTCTAACCAAGGTCAAGCCTACAGCTGTATTGTTTAGATCCAAATCCAGGACAAGAGCCTTTAAAGTTCAGACAGGAAGGCCTCAACCAGACTTCGCCCTAGAAGAGATCACAGTGGGCTCACTGAAATATTGCAGGTCTTCAGCCTGATCTGTCCCTGAGATCCTTGAAGAAACACTTAAAATCTAGAGAAAGCAGCAGCAGGACTCAAGAGAACAAAACACAGGACTAAGCACCACCTAAACATTCCCACAAAAAGGCCACAAAGCATGGCCCTAACACATAGTCTGAAGTCCAGAAATAAGACTAGAAGAATGGATAAACAGAAAAGGAATGCATACACAAACACATACACTATTCAAAATTTCAAACTAGAAAACTTGAAAGAAATGAAGCCAGAATTTGTTTTTGTTTGTTTTTTTAAGTTTAATGTGACTTTATAAATGAAATGGAAGAGCTAGAGGAAAGAATTAAAAAAGAAATGAGAGATGTGGAGGAAAGACTTAGAAAGAAAATAATAGCTTAGCACAAAAAGATACAAAACTTTACCCAAGCAACAGATGACTTGAAAATTAAAATGAATCAAATAAGATAATTTCATGAGAAGACAAGGCATATTCAAAGTCTGAAATAATATAAGAAAATAGGAAGTATTTTCAATCTAAAATAAGTGATCTGGAAAACCAGTTAATGAGAAGTTATTTAAGAACCACTGGACAAGCTAAATACTAAAATCTAAAAAAGTTTAGGAATCATATTTCAAGAGATCATGAAAAAAAAATTGCCCAGATGCCTCAGAACCAAAGAACAAAAACAGAAACCTCTTAAAAGAAACCCAAAATGAAAACTCCCAAAAGTGTCATTACCAAAATCCAGAATATCTAGGTTCATGAGTGGGGATCCGGTGGCCTTCTAGGTACTTGGGTGTGGTCTTTTGACTGAGTTCAAGTTTTACAGAACAAATCCTTTTATTAGGGGGATTTGTTCTGTTAAGTTTGGATTCAGTCAAAGTGCTGCACTTGAGGTTCTCCACTCCTGTTCTGGGTCAAAGAAAGTATACTGCAAGTTGCTAGGAAGAAAGAGCTGAAGTACTGATGAATCATATTTAGCATTACATAAAATTTAGCAGCCACCATGATAAAGGAATAGAGAGCTTAGCATATGATATTCCAGAAGGCAAAACATATAAACACCAAGAAAAATTTTACATAGCAAAACAGTATAAATCTACAAAGGAGAAAATAGACTTTAATGAAATAGAGGATTTACATGTATTCTTGATGAAAATCTGAGTAGAAAATGTTAAATTAAAAAAAAAAGAGTTAAAATACTTAAAAGATTAAACAAGAAAGAAGGTGGTCCTATATTTTCAATAACCAGTTTAACCAGCTTCATTTAGGGAAAGTATGATGTGTATGCAAAGCCCTCCTGATCACAATGTCTTTGCAATAACAAGGGTTGTAGTTAGGCTACCTGTCCATTAATTGTCCCTAAGATCTCTCTCCTGAGAGTTCCCTGTGAATCTGTGCACCAACAGTAACAGACATAAGGACAGAGACCCAGAATTATGGGCTATCAACCAGGTTATGCATCCACTGTACAAGCCACAGCCCACACTTGTCCCTTAACCATGGTGCGCAAAGGCTGGGGAGCTGCATGCTTGCATGTCTGTCAGTATTAAACTGTCTGATTTATTATCATTCAGTGTTTATGGTCCTCCTCAGTGTTTCAACCCATGATCTCCACATAAAAGTGGAGGCACCAGTTGTAGATAATAGATGGTGTAATGGATAGAGTTCTAGGTCTGGAGCCAAGAAGATTCATCTTCCTGAGTTCAAATCTGACCTCAGATACTTACTAGATGTGTGACCCTGGGCAGCTAATTTAACTCTGCTTGCCTCAGTTCCTTATCTGTAAAATGAGCTGTAGGAGAAAATGGCAAACCACTCCTGCATCTTTGCCAAGAAAATTCCAAAGGGGATCACAAAGAGTCAGACACAACTCCACAACAAGTGAGCAACTTTTCAAGTCTATTTTTTTAATCCGTAATATCAGTTCTTAGAACAATGTTTGAAGCTTCATAAGCTCTTAATAAATTTTGTTCATTCATTTGTCATTATGCTAACAAATTAATAGTTATATTAATTTTTAAACTAAAGAAATTCTAGAAAATACATTCATTATAATTATAATTATAATTAAATATTTTGGATCACTATATATTAATAGTTATTATGTTTACATAGAGCCATGGAAATTTGTCCAACTAAATATATTTTTATTAAGCCTTACTAAATACCAAGCACGCTTTTTAAATCACAATAATGCTGTCTGATGTATTTAGATGATTACCCACCATGCCAGGAAAATCCAGATTCTGCTTTGTATTAGGGTCTACAGATAACCTTTTTGGACTGCAAATGACTTCACCAGTCTTCTGTATGAAAGCCATACTTGAAAAGATGTTGGGATACTTATAGTAGGTGACTTCACAAAAACAAAGTGCTATTGTATGAAAAAAGAAGTTTCCAAAACATCATTACTATTTTACATTTAATTCAATCTGCCTTTTACTTATTATACTATATTTAATTTCAGCACTTAAAATCTGACATTTTGATTTATGAATCTTTGTGGGGCAATATAATATTGCAATGTAAACAAGTCAAAAACAATACAGATAGTTCATTACGAGTAAATGACTAGTTAAATATAGTTATTCCTCAATTATGCATGGAGTCTACCAATTAGACATAAAGCCACGATAGATATGTAATAGATGCATAATCAATACACAAGAATTATTATATGATTAACAATCCCAATCCAGTATTTTTAGCCCAACCCTTTCCAAAATACTGGTATTAATTGGTGTCATTCAAATGCAGACTCATAGCACACTCACTATCTTCCTTCTATCAGATTCATTACACACTTTTAAGCTTGGCTGCCTCCAAAAAGTCAATTAGAATACTGTTAACTTTCAGGAAGATACAATGTGGAATATTATAGAGTTGGTCTTGGAATCAGGAAGACCTGGATTCATGTGACCCTGGTCAAGTCATTTATCTTTCAGTGCCCACAGATAATTTTCTAAGATTACAAATTTTCAAGAAGGTTCAGATCCATGTTAATAAAGGAACTTATTTGTCATGAGCATGCCTAAGGATAACTTCATGAGACACCCCCTGTACCCCTATCAAGGGAAGCAAAGGACTTCCAACAACCCAAATCTTCTAAGTGTATTCTCTAAGCTTGAACCTACTTTCTCCTGGGCTTTTATATACTCGTAGGAAGACATGTCACAGACCTTATAAAGGATAATTAAGTCTAGCTAACTGAAATAAATTGATAATTATAGGGGAAAAGTCCACAAGCCATAGCATTAGAAAGATAGTCCAATAGCTCTGGGTTATCCCTAGAATCCCGAGGGGAGATAAACAACCATTGTTTGGGGGACCCCTACTAATCTAAGTGTCGCTTAAAAGAATAAGTGCAAGGCATGCAATGCACTTATATATGTACATATTATCTCCTACTATAAAATATAATCTCTATGGGAGCAGCAAATGTTTCTTTTTGGTCTTTGCCTAGGCCCAATGCCTAGCACAGTGCTTGGCACACAGTAGACACTTTAATAAATGCTTGCTGATCAATGGGCCTGTTGTGCCTACAAACCTCAAGGAAAGCATTCCTATTGGTCCTACCTCTCTTCAGGGAAATGCTTTAAAGTAAATTAGGGATTTTAAGACATGAAGGTGAGGGAGAAGATAAGCACGTTGTCTGATTCAATTGTACATTATATCAAATGTTGAGAGATTAGCTAGAAGATTAAGAGAGGTAAGCAACATATGGTTTTTAAAGTCTAATACCATGAGTTTTAATTTTATGTAAAAGGCTCCAAAACTGTAAGATCCTGAAAGGCATATAACATGATCAAAACGCCACTTGAAGATGATTGTTGCTACTTTGAAGGGATAATTAGAAAAGGATTGGAGAAAGAGATGCCATCAAGGTGGAATAACAGAATAAGAGAATTTCAGCCGTGGAAGAGATTTCAGAAGTCATTTGTCCAACCTTTCCTGAACAATAATTCAATCCATATCTCCAACAAGAAATCATTTAGCTTTTGCTTAAAGGCCCTTGGTGAGGGGATACCTCCAAATGCAAGCTAATTCTACTTTTGGATGATTTTCAATTTTTCAGGAAGTTTTTCCTTATTTCAAGCTGAAATCTGCCTCTCTTGAACTTTCACTTGCTGTTCCTTATTCTGCCCTCTGTAGCAAAGAAAATAATTTTAATTACTCTTCTAATATGAAAATCCTTGGAATACTTGAAATTTTTTCCAAAGTGTTCAGGATAAAAACCTTTATTTCTTTTCACTGACCTTAGCGCCATATGGCATGATCTTGAGACCCTCCTCTATTTTTATCATCCCCCTTCCAGATACTTATTCCGTTTAGAAATGTTGTAGAAAATGCAGCAACCCAGAAATGACCATATATAATACCAGATGCTCTCTGACCAGAGCAAGACATATTAAAACAACCACTTTTCTAGTCCCAAACACTCTATGCTTCTCTCAATTCAGCTTAAAATCACAGCTTTTTTTGGGCTGCCATGTCAGTATTGTCTCATACTGACCGTGCAGTCTACTCAACCCTCCAGATTTTTTTTTTCTTTTTGGTGAGGCAATGGGGGTTAAGTGACTTGCCCATGGTCACACAGATAGTAAGTGTCAAATGTCTGAGGCCAGATTTGAACTCAGGTCCTCTGACTCCAAGGCCAGAGCTCTATCTACTGTGCCACCTAGGTGCCCCTAACCCTCCAGATTTTTAAGATAAATTGTAGTCTATCCATGCCTTCCACATTTTTACTTGTGAAGTTGACTTTCTGAACCCAATTTACGCTCTACATTTCCCTATCATCTTCAGGATCAATATAAAATTCTCTGGCATTCAAAGCCCTTCATAATCTACATTCCCTTCCCACTTTCTAGTCTTCTTATATCTTATACTCCCAATCACATCTCACGCACTCTGTGATCCAGTGATACTGTCATCCTTTTTGTTCCTCGAATAAGACATTGGGCATTTTCACTGGATGGCACCAATATCTGTAATGCTCTCCTTCCTCATTTCTCCCTACTGACTTTCCTGTCTTCCTTTAAGTCCTACTTAAAATCCTATCTTCTACAGGAAACCTTTCCCAGTCCAGATTAATTCTAGTGTCTTCCCTCTGCTGATTATTTCATACTTATCTTGTATATACCTTGTTTGTACACAGTAGTTTGTAACACTGACCTCCTGACTTTTCCAAGAACAAGACATTGCATCTCTCAGCAGCGGGAATTTTCTCTAGCTATCTCCCAAGCCTGGAACACTCTCCCTCCTCTGATCTGACTACTGACCTCTTTGGCTTCCTTTAGGTCCCAATTAAAACCCCACCTTATTCAGGAAGCCTTCTCTGACCCCTCTTAATCCCAGTGCTTTCCTTCTTTAAATTATTTCCTATTTTTTCCTGCATTTAGCTTGTCGTGTATATATTTATTTGCATGTTGTTTCCTCCATTAGATTGTAAGATTGTCTAAAGCAAGGACTGTGTTTTACCTCTTTTTGTATCCCCAGATACAAAACAACTTAGAACAGGGACCGGCACATAGCAGGTACTTGATAAATGTTTATTAAGTTGAATCGATAAGTAACTTAAAGATATAAAGGGGAACGTGTTCTGTAAAAATGGTACAGGATGACAGGTTAGAAATGGAAAGATATTTTTATTAATGACTTTTCTCTACTGATATAGACCTGACCTCTGTGATGACATAAATAAAAATAGGACATAGAAGAGATTGCATGGAAATCATTACTTCAAATTTAGCTAGAAAAGTCTTTCTCTATTTTTGCATGATTTCAAATAAACATAACAGCAAAGTGACTAATGTTGATAAATAAGGACTTATAAGAAAGAATTGGCAATAAACAATTGTTTTTCTAAAATCAATAACTGCTTTTTTCATTTGTATATTTAAATGTGGTGACACATTCAATGACAACAACAATATTTCAGTACTTTTTTTCCATCTTTCTAGACTCTCGGACCTAGAGTATCTGCCACTGATGGATTGTATTCAGTGTATAGCCATAGCCAAATTTAAAAAAAAATATATATATATATATATATATATATGGTATCACAATATTCAGCATTGAGTCTATTTGAGAAGCTGTATAACCCAAAGAGAACCATAAGAACATTACAGTATGAGAGATAGGGGCTAGAACTGTGATTTCACTGATATAAGGTATTCTCAGAGGAGGAAACTCACTCTGTCACCTTCTCTACATCTTAGAACATCAGAGAGTTTCTTTGAGCACTGAGAAGTTAAGTGATTTGCTCAGAATCACAATGCCAAAATTTGTATGAGGTCTTCCTTGCTCTGAGAACATCTCTTTATCCATGCCTCTATATCATGTCTCTTTACAATAATAACAATTTTCAAATTCTGTAACACACTCATTGTTTGTAATACTCTTTCATTCTAGTATCCACCTAATGAAATTTTTCTAGATGATCACTATATGAAATTACATATAAAATATGCCTACATCATTATGTGACAAAACATTATTACTATAATAATATATACTATATACATTTAGGATGCCTACTATTCTTATTCTTTACTAATATTTAGTAGGACTCTCTGAAGGGATACACATATTTCAGATATTTGTTGGAAAATATAATGTTTATCATTTTTAAAAAATTAATGACATCTTTTGTTTTTATATCATATTTGTTGCTGAATATATTACTTTCCTGTCTCCTACCAAACAATTCTTATAAAAAATTAAAAACAAAAGAGAGAAAAAAACAGTTCAGTAAAACTAACCTATATATCAACAAAGTGTGATATATATGCAATGTCCTCCATAGTCCCTCGCCCCTGCAAAGTGAAGATTAACTTTTTTTGGTTCCTCATCTATGGTAAAATTCTGGGAGTAATTGTTATTATACAACATTCATTTTCATTCATTTCCATTTTCTTTAAAAAAAAAGTTCCATTTGTATCTACATTTAATTTAAGAACAGTTCAATAAAATACCTTATGCTTGTTCTGATAAATCATTTTCCTATGTAAGCAAATATAATTCAGGATTATCATGATAATTTTGGATTTTCACTATGTAATATAAACCATTTTAAATTTAGTAAATAAAAAGAGATTCTACCATATAAATATGGTTGAAGTCTGATTAACTGTTCTTCAAAACCTTCCAGATTACCATACAGGTGATAAACAGAGAGCCGTAAAAATGTCAAAAATCCAATCTGTAAAAAAAATAAACAAAACACACACACACACACACACAGAAAAACAAAAAGTGAATCCATTGTTACACTATATTAAATTAAAATGTGAACATATTATTCGGAGAATTGAAAAAAGGAGAATGTGTGAACCATGTGAGAGAACTGTTACTCAATCGAAAGTATTTTTCAGTTCACACTAGACTTGAACAGTACATGAAGTTGGAGATGTAGGTTCAATTAAATGGTAAGATCACATTGAAATGTGTGTGTGTGTATATGTTATATGTATATATTTGCAGTTTTATACATATATAAAAGTTGAATTATGGAAAATAATGTATAAAATACATACCTCCTTCATTTGCACACATTTTTATAAATATCAGGACTCATAAATGCAGTAGGATATTTAGCATTTTATTTTCCCCCAGTTACATGTAAAAACAATTTTTAACATTCATTTTTAAAACTTTGAGTTCCAAATTCTCTCCCTTCCTCCCTCCCCACCGCCTACCCCCATTAGGAATGCAAGCAATTCTATATAGGTTACACATGTGTAGTCATGCAAAATATATCCATAATAGTCATGTTGTAAAAGAAAACATAGATTAAAAAAACTCAAGAAAAATAAAGTATGCTTCAATCTATATTCAGACACCATCAGTTCTTTCTCTGGGGATGGATAGCATTTTTTGTCAAAAGTCCTTCAGAATTATCTTGGATCATTGTATTGCTGAGAATAGCTAGGTCATTCACACTGATCATCCTACAATATCGCTGTTCCTTTGTACATAGTACATTTAACTTTGCATCAATGTAGTAGGATAGATAGTATAAATTATTGCTGCATCACTTCCAAGAGGCAACAGAAACATAAGTCATGTAAACTGACATATACACAACATACAATATTGCAGTTTATTGAAATGATTGCAAAATTCTTCAGCTGGAAATTTTCCATGAAGTAGTTGGGGTTTTTTTTATTTTAGTTTAGTCCAATTTATTTTCAATTATAAAAAGAATGTAACCCAAGAGAATGTCAACAATTACTAACCTATTTTACCAGCTATCTAAAAAATTTAAGATTAATATACATGACCGTAAAGGGCATCCTTGTTGAGGGTTTTTTTAAAGTAACCATTCCATAGTAGACCACATCTGAAAGCTGCATTGTGCTTATTATCTGTTGTCTATTTTTCTAAAGCATTTGATTTGACAGAGCAGGATGCTATGCATAAAGGCTCTCCTCCAACAAGATTTATCCTATACTACGTCAAAATTACACAAAGTTCTTTGAAAGATATGATAACAGAGATAACTTTCTTTGAAAACTTTGTGATCATTAATGTCAGGTGAGACACAAAACTGAGATATATGCCAAAGGTATTAGATTCTGTCATGGAAAAGATCCAAGGCAAAATTCAAGTTGAAGAGGGATTTCCCATAGATAACAAAGTTTTTCAGATGCTTCTATTTACAAATGACACTGGGTTGATTGCATTAAGCCCTGGTAATTCAAAACCTGTCATAAGGCAGCTATGTGGCACAGTGGATAGAGAATCAGCCCTGTAGTCAGGAGGATCAAAGTTCAAACATGACCTCACACACTTACTAGCTGTGAAACCCTGTGCAAGTCACTTAACCTTGATTGCCTCCAAAAAAAAACAACAACAACAACAACAAAAAAAACAAACTAAAGAAATAACAAAACAGTGACAAGAGCTTGCCCTATCTACCAATACAGGAAAAACTAAGTGGATGAAGAATACCTGTTTTCCCAGACCTACAGAGCCTATCCATGGATTTGTGTACATTTATGTGTATAGTTTTCCATACAGGTATGTGTGTGTATATGTATATGTCTGTCTGTATGTGAGCATATGGAATGCCATACATATTTATGTATGTATACACACACACATTAGGTATATACATATATCTATATCTTCATAAATCTATATCTACATGAAATACAAAAATGAACATAATCCTGAGGAGAATGGAAAGATTCATGGTGGATGATTAATACATTACAAGCAGGGCACTATGAAAGAGTGGTAGATTAAAGGATACCTTGAAATAATTTATGAGCAAAAAAGATGGGATGTCAAAAGTGAAGGATAACCGACAGATAGTCCATTTACTTTTTGTTGTTGTTGTTGAGTAATTTCAGTTGGGTCCAATTTTTCTCGACACTATTTGGAGTTTTCTTGGCAAATATACTAGAATGGTTTGCCATTGCCTTCCCTAGCTTATTTTACACATGAGGAAACTGAGGTGAACAGGGTTAAGTTACTTGCCCAGGGCTAGATTTTGACAAAGCTTGAGTACTTCTCAACATAGCTTTTGAGAACCTACATGAAGATGAGGTATAAAAATAAGACTTTCATTTAAGATATTAACCTTGATAGGAATGAGGGTAAAATATTATATTTGCATTCAAAATATCAGTTGTCAAATATAGAATCAGGGAGACATAAGTTGCCAATAGTTCAAGTAAAAATGATCTGAGGATTTCAGTAGACTAAAACTCCAAAATGAATCAACAGTGTAAAATGGTAACCAAAAAAGCTAATGGAATACAAAGCTAAACTGAAACATATAATATCCAAAAGATGAGAAATGATAGTCTTATTGGACTCTGTCTTTTCCAAATCATATATTTAGTATTCTATTAAATTCTGTGATCCAAATTTTAAGAACATTGACAAATTGGACAGTGCTCATTGGAGAGTGTTCAGGGTGGTGAAAAGCCTGGAGACCATGTCACATGAAGATTAGTTGAAGAAATTATTTGACAAAGAGAAGTAAAGTGTGAGATGGGACATACATATCTGTCTCAAGTATTTGAAGGCCTATTAAGTGGAAGAGGGACCAGTCTGACTATGCTTGGCCCCAAAGTGATTAATTAGAAGTCATGCGTTGAAGTTGCAGAGAAACACATTCTAGGTAATATTTTTAGGCATGCTAAAGCAAAATTTAGACTTGATTAAAGAAAAATCACCCTAACAATTAGAGCTGTTCAAAAATGGAATGGGCTTTTTGGAAAGCAGTGGATTCCCCTTCACTGGAAGTCTTTGAGCAGAGACTTATTTTAGAAAAGGAGATTTCAGTTTAGGTACAGGTTGCATTAGATGCCTCATGATGTCCCTTCCAAAGTTGGTAGTCGGTGAATCTTTGCTTCAGTAATTCAGTGGAAATAGTAATTTGATATATTTGCTGAAAGTCTAAAAAAAATCTTTTTTTTTTATGTATTCCTTAAGCTGTTAAACAACTTGGTTCTACAAACTTTCAGATAACGTACATGAGAAGATGAACAAATCTCCTACATACATCGGAGATACTCAATAAAATGCTACTATTAACAATAACTTAGCAAATATTTAATATTTAATGAGTATATATGCTGCAGTAAGATGAGAAAGACATAGTCCCTGACCTTAAATATCTTGTAGCTTATCAGAAAGAATAATGATATATTCATTCATTCAATCATTTATTCAACACATTTACTGAACACTCAATATGTACAAGGCACTTTCCCAGGCATTCACTGTAAGATATAAAAAATGAAAAAGACACAGTCAATAGTCTAAAGGAACTTTAAAAATAGCAGGGGAACCAAGACAAATGCACAAATGCAAGGCAGACAGTGATAATTGCTAAAAAGGAGGTATAAGCCAAGTGCTAAGGGGTTTTAAGGAGGCTGTTGCAAGAAGTAATGAAGACCTGAATTAAAATGGTGACAGTGGAAATAAAAAGAATAAGGCACATGTGAGAGACTTTGTAAAGGCTGAATTAATAAAACTTGACAATTGACTGAATGTTGGTTATAAAGGAGGGATGAATAAAATAATAATTTTGAGTTATGAGACAGAGGTGATTAAATGAATGACATTACTAATAACAGACACAGGAAAGTTAAGAGAAGGTACAAACTTTGGGAGAAGGGATGATGTGTTAACATTTCGATTTTGAGTTGTTGGGTCATCCAGGAGAATATGTCCAGCAGGTGGAGTGCAGTAAAAGCAATATCCTAATGCCCTGTTCCTATAGATTACGCTACTTTCTATTTAAATGGCATTAAAACTATTTCTGAGTCACATCAGCATGACACAGCTCTGTTATACAACAGAACTTTGCAAGAGAATGGAGGAACAGAAGGAAAGAGGGCAGGAAACTGTGTGGCACTACACTAAGCTGGAGGAAAAAAGTGTCTCATCAAAGTGGAGTCAGTTCGGCCCCCTGCCCCACAAAAGCTAGTGAGCCATGAATAGCTCCACATCGGGGTAAGCTGAGGGATTCTGAGACTTAGCCCTCAGGGAAACCACCATTAAAAAGGAAGGAGTCAAAAAATAAGCTATAGGGGACAATGGGGAGATGGGAGAAACAAAATCATCAAAGATCTCAAGAGGAAGAAAATTTAAATAAAGACTGTGAGCATAAGCAGATAAATTAACAAGGAAGATACTAAGGAAAAAAAAGGGAATATGGCCTCCAGATCAGGCAAAAAATTCAGGCATCTGTGAATAAGTATTGCAAGACAAAAGAATATGAATAAATACCTGATGAGACATAAAAAGACAATGTGGATACCCAGGAGACAATGGAACCTGAGGAGAATGTTCCTGAATGGTTTAAAAAAGAAATAAGAATTGTGAAAGTAGAATTTTTGGCCTTCACAGAAGAAATAATTTGCTGAATAGAAAAACTTGAAGTCAGAATGGCAAGTTTCACAAAAGAAACAAAACTGATAACTGATTGGAAATGGAAATGCACTAAAATGAAGATCAATCAAGGAAGAAGAAGAGGAGAAACAAATCAATAACATAAAAATAAATATGATCTCCATATAAGTAAAAATATATTGATCTTAAAGACAGAAGTCACAGAGACAAATGAAGGATTATCAGTCTCCCAGAAGAACATGACAAGTCAAAAGATCTGAATACCAGATGAAATAATACACAAAAACTACCCAGAACTTCTGACACAAAAAATAAAGTGCTAATTAAAATAATCCACAGGTTACCTCAAAAGAAAAAACAACTTATGCTACAAAATTTGAAACAAATGGTTCCCACTAACAAACAACAAATTCAGCAAGTGACTGGGAGAAAGACCTTCAAATAAAAAGGAAAGGAAATTATTTAAAAACAAACAAACACAAGACTATTTTGCACACTCCAGAAAAGAAGGACCAGAAGAGCTCAAGTTGAGACCAAAGTGACCTGTCTACAAATCTGAGCCTAAACATTAATAAAAAACTAATAATAATAATGAAAAAAGGCATTCAGAACATTTCTAGAAAGAAAATGAGAGCTTGTACTTGCTTCTCAAACACTCCAGACAATAGAAATACAAAGAAGGGCAAAGAAACACAGCAACCATGCACAGCAACACCAACATACCAATGGAGATACCAGTGATAGATCTCTATCTAAATACACACAAGGAGACAAGGCTAAAAGCAAAAATCAAATGGAAGTGATAGTATAGCGACAGGTCCAAAACATCATGAACACAACATTGTGCCTTTTTTTATGGTGCTAAATTACAGAATGGAAGAGTGCATAAATGGGGGCAGTGGAGAAAGAAGAGAGAAAAATGTGATATTCTCTAATTAAATGATAAGCTAACAGTAAAGGGAAAATCACAACCATAGTATCACAGGAAAAAGAGAGCTTACAGAAGAATGAGTGAGGAGTGAGGAGATAAAGGGAGAGATTAGGAAGAGGGGTACAGAGGAGAAAGAAAGAGAAAATTCCTGTAGTAGAGCACAGAAATAACGTAAACCAATGTAAAAGGGCAGGGATATTAAATAGATCCTTAATGATCTATTAATGAAATAAAAGTACCAACAAGAAATTACAAGTTAACAGATGATTTCATTAAAACTAATGACAGCAGTGAAACAACATATCAAAACTTTCTCAGATACAGGCAAAACATTTTATACCTCCAAAACAATTTACATGCAATAAATATGCAATTTATAAAAGTAATTTAAGTCTCTAAACACCTTCACCAACAAAGGATTGCAAAAACAGATCAATGAATTGAACATGCAAATGAAAAAAAACTAATTAAAAACTAATTACTAATTAAACTAATTAAAAACTAATTAAAACTACTTTTAAAAGTCCAATTAAAATCCAAAATAGGAATTTTGAAAATCAAGTAAGTAATAAATTTGGCAAATGTAGTATAATTGTATAATTTATATATATCATATAATTGTATAAAATAAATATTAATAGCAATAAAATTGAAAGAAAAAATTGAATTTATTTAATAAAACTAGAAACTATTAAAAAAAAACCATTGGCTTTGTAAAAAGATTAAGACCAAAGACCTTGTGAAAAAAAATGAAAAAAGTGTATTCAAAACAAATGAAGAAAAAAAAATTAGAAACTATTTTACCAAATCATATGCTAAAAAAACTGACAACAAATGGAACTGATACATATTTACAAAAACACCAGACAACCAGATTAACAGAACAAGAAACAGAAAACTTATCCCATTCATTGAAAAAGAAATTGAACAAGCTAAAAGTAACTCCTAAGGGCAATAAAAAGGGCTAAATATATTTATAAGCAAATTCTATTTAAAATAAAAAAAAAATTCTAATGACACAAACCAATCGAAAAATAGCAGAAAAGTAGGTCCTGCCAAATTTCTTTTATGAGACAAATATAATATTAATACCTAAACCAATGAGAGACAAAGTAAGAAAAAGAAAACTATAGACCAATATCACTAAAGAACTAATGAAATGTAAAATTTAAAATTAAATTATTAGCAAAAAAAGATTACAGCAGCATATCACAAAGATTTTACACTATTACCAAGTTGGATTTAATACCAAAAATGCAAGATTGGTTCAATATTATGAAAATTAGAAACATAATAAAACATATTAGTAGCAAGAAAAACAGAAAAGAATATACTTATGTCAATAAATGTAGAAAAAGCTTTTGATGGCATCTAACATTTTTGACGGTATTTAAAGAAATAAGCTGGCCTTTCTTTATTACATTCAATAACATTTTTCTAAAACTAAGAGTCAGTCTTATGGATAATGGGGATAAATCAGAGGCTTTTCTAGTAAGACCAGGGTAAAGCAAGAATGTCAATTACCACAACTAATATTAAATATGATACTACAAATGATAGCTATAAATAAAAAAAGAAAAAAAATTGAAGGAATATACATAGACAAAAAGTAAACCAAATTACTACCTTTTGTAGATAATATAATGGTTTACTTAGAGAACCTCAGAGACAACTAAAAAAAAATGAAACAATAACTTTAGCAAAGTTGCAGGATATAAAGTAAACCAACACAAATCATCAGTATTTCAGTATATTACTTCCCATAAAAAATCAGAAAGAGATAGAAAAGAAAATTTCATTTAAAATAAATACAGAATGTATAAAAGAACTGAGGCATGCATGGGACTCTAGGACAACAATTACAAAATATTCTTTACACATATAAAGACAGATTTAAATAATTGGTGAAGTATTAATTGCTCACATGTGGACTAAAACAATAAAATAAAAAGACAGAAATACCTAAATAAATTTACTTATTCAGTGTCATATCAATTGTACTACCAAAGGATTACTTTATGAAGGTAGAAAAATAATAACAAAATTCATTTGGAGGAAAAGAAGGTCAAGGATCTCAAGGGAAATAATGGGAAAAAAAGTAGGAAAAAAAAGGGAACTAAAAGCAGATTATAAATTACATTACAAAGCAATAACCCTAACCCTAAATGCTAACCTAACCCTAAACTTTAACACTACCTCTAACCCTAAATTCATGCTTAGCTTTTTTAATTGCTTATAAATTATTTTTTCCAAACAATATACTTTTCAGGTACAGGTCCTACTATGGTTATAATACACACTATAGCTTCCATGTTAACTTCCTGGAACTCAAAGGTTTCCCACTGGGCCATCAGCCTATGGAAAAGAGAAACAGAAGAGATTCAGCTCATACTCAGAATGGAGGGTAGAGGGAAAGCTTACTAAAGGTGAAGGTAGGCCTGAATCTCATGTCACCCATAAAATGACTTAGTATTGGCTAAAAAAATACATACATTGATCAATGGAACAGATTTGGTATAAACTATACAGAAGGAACCAAATGCAATAACCTAGTGTCTGATAAAACCAAAGATATCAGCTACTGTAATAAGAACTTACCAAAAACTAGTTTAGTGTACTACTTGATGGGAAACTCTCTCTACCAACAAAGGTCACTACTTTCTCTGTAGTCTTAGGTTTCCCAGAGGTTAAATAACTTTTAGGGTCACACATCCGATATTTGACAGAGGCAGGATTTCCTTGTTTGGAGGCTACCTCTCTATTCAAAATTCTGCCTCTTTGTGGGAGACAGAAATATAGACTGAACCTGTGATTCCTTCGGTACAAAAAAAGGCCCTTAGGTGAGGAAATACATTCTTTCAAAACAGGTTGGTGCTTCCTCTGCAAATTATAATCTTAGATAGCTGCCGAGAGCACTGAGAGGTTAAGTGAATTGCCCTGTGTCTGAACTCATGTCTTCCTGGCTTCAAGGCTCGCCACTATGCCATGCTACCACTCAGGGCTCTGGATATATTATATCAAACAATAAAGTATGTATTAAAGAAAGGAAAAGAAAACTAAACCACAAAAGGAAAATTCATCGCAAAACAGAATAACCCATTTAGGTCCTAAAATAGATACTATGTGGATATATGTAGCAAATTAAGAAAAAAATGGCAATTTTAAAGTACCTTTGTCAATTTTATTTCACTTGAATATAAATATGATTTCTGGGATGCATCACAGCAGATTCTATACAAAACTGATTCAGCAATGAAAAATAGTGTTGTCAGGTGACTGCAGTTCAAGGAGGCGTGATCCAAAGAAGCACAAAGCATATTTAGGGCTTCTGAAATATTAAAAATATGAAAATGAGTACACATAAAATCTTAGTATTGTTTTAAAATTTATTATCTTGTACCTTAATATGGTCTTGCAAACTGTTACTTGTTTAGTCACCTAAGTCAATGAATGATTAAAGACAATAAACACTGATTTGAATAATCTTGTAGAACTTCACCTATCCCTGAATTACTTGGAACAATTGGAAGAAGTAAAACATTTGAGGATGGCAGAGTAAAAGGAGCATACTAGCCAAGCTTTCCCAACATTCCCTTATAATCAGTTTAAAAATAATGTGTCAGAATGAATGCTAAGGCAGCATAGGCAACAAAAGGTTGGGGAAACATTTGTCTAGTCCAGGACAACTTAGGAGGATGAAAGGAGAGGCCTGTGGCACTGGAGAGGTATCTGGCTAGTAGCAAAGTATGGTGGCAGTGACACCAGCTGTGGGTCTTGGGAGCTGTGCTGGGGATAGGAGCAGCAGCAGAAGTATTGGCAGCTCTCACTGCTGAGAGCTAGTAAGGGGACTGAACACCTGTTCAGAAAGAGATTCCAGGGGACCTCTGTGCTAGCACTGGGTGCAGGACTTGATATTGTTTGGTAACTCCACTGCCCATGACCAGTTCCAGGGCAGTCACAAAGGAGCAGGGGCCTTAGTTTCAAGTTTTTAGTTTCCAGAGAAGAAAAAAGTTGTAGTCTGAGAACCTGGGTAAGGGCAAGAATAAAGACCAGGAGACCAGTAATCTTCCCCATATGACACTACCTTGGAAGCACTGAAAACTTACAGATATTCAAAATTAATTGTGAAAATATCAGGGCAAAAAAGCCTGAAGTTTGGGAGAGTGACAAACCCTGTCCATCCCCCAAGTGAGCAACTCCAACATAAAGTTCAAAGTCAAGAAATGGGCTGGGAAAATGAGCAAACAAAAACAGACCCTGGTCATAAAAAGCTACTGTGGTGACAGGGAAACTCAAGGCACAAACTCAGAAGAAGCCAATGCTATGAAAACACCTATAAACAAAACCTCAAAGAAAAATGCAGACTGGGCATAAGACCAAAAAAATTCATATAAGACCTAAAGAAAGATTATTTAAAATATTTAAAAAATCAGAATGATAGAGGTAAAATGGGGAAAAGAAATGAGAGCAAAGTAAGAAAATTATGAAAAGAGAATTAACAGCTTGGTAAAAGAGGCACAAAAAATACTCAGGACAACACCTTAAAAAAACAGAACTGGCCAAATGATAAAAGAGATACAAAACCCGACTGAAGAAAGTAATTCTTTAAAAATTAGAAATGAGGAAGTAGAAGCTAATGATTCAATGAGACATCAAGAAACAAACAAGAAAAAAAGTCAAGCATATGAAAAAATAGAGGAAAAGGGGAAATATATCATCAGAAAAACAACTGACTGGGAAAACATCAAATAGAAAGAAGGGAAAACAGATTTGAAGAGCGAAGGGGGAAGAAATATAGGGACAATAATCTCCCCATAAAGGAGACACGCAAAGAGTTGTTACAATGGAGGGGAAAATGAGGAGCAGGAAACACTTTAACCTCACTTTCATCAAAACTGGTTTAAAGAGGGAAGACTATATATAAACTCAATGGGGTAAAGAAATCGTTTTACTCAACAGTAAAGTAGGAAGGGAAGGGACTAAGAGAAAAGAATGGTGTAATAATGGGAAGACAAATTAAGAGAGGCTGTGGCTAGATGCAAAACAGACTTTAGAGGAGAAAGACAGACAGGGAGATACAGAGAGATAGACAGAAGAGACAGAGAGAGAAAAGAGAATAGAAGGTTAGACCAAAGAAAGTAGAATGGAAGGAAATGGCAATCAAAATTGTGAATATGAATGGGATGAACTCATCATAAAAATGGAAGCGGATAGCAAAATGGATTAGAAACTAGACGTCAACAATAAGCTGTTTACAAGAAACACAACTGAAACAATAAGACACACAGAATAAAAATAAGGGGCTGGAGCAGAAATTATCATGCTTCAGCTCAAGCAATAAAGAGACAAAGTAAGAGCAAAATTAGACCCAATTAAAAGAGACAATTATGACACAAATACGGTTTTGATATCTAAACTAGGGAAAGCAAAAACAGAGAAAACTATAGACCCAATTCTAAAATGAATAATGATGCAAAAATTTAAATAAAATATTAGCAAGAACATTACAGCAATATATTATAAAGATCATATAATATGAGCAGATGGAATTTATACCAAGAATACAGGGCTGGTTCAAAATTACGAAAACTATTAGCACAATTAACCATAGCAATAACAAAAACAACAAAATCATATGATTATACCAGTAGATGTAGAAAAAGCTTTTGACAAAATACAATATCCTGTGCTAGAAATCACAGGATTAAATGAAGCTTTTCTTAAACCGACAAGTAGTATCAAACCAAGTGTGGGATAAGAAATGATGAAAAAGATGGTTTCAGAAAAACCTGGGAAGACATTTTAACTGCAAAATGAAATGAGCAAAACCAGGAGAATATTGTTCAGGGTAATAGCAATAAAATAGTGGTAATAAACTGTGAAAGACTTAGCTACTCTGATCAATATAATGATCCACAACAATTTCAAAGGATTCATGAAGAAAAATGCTCTCCATCTCCAGAGAATTGATGAACTCATTGCATACTGAAGCATAGTTTTTTTCATTTTATTTTTCCTCACTTTTTTGCAACATGGATAATATGGAAATATTATTTCACATCTGTAATTGATATACTGCTTCCCCTCTCAATGGTTAGGGGAGGAACTGGAGGGAGGAAGATGATTTTGAACTCAAAATTTAAAAAGAATATAAAAAAATAAATATTTTTAAAAGAGGTAAAATATTTTCACCTTAGTATCTGAAACTATTGACAATCCAGTTTTAGGTTTTTCTTTTACTCCTTTTAACACTAAATATTTACCCACTAACTATGCTACCAACATAATGGTGAGAAAAAAAAAACATGATACAACACAGCAATAATGGAATTACATGGAATAAAAGAAAATGGATATAAGGTGAAGGTCTGAATCTAGGTCAGAAGAAGTGGTTCACAAAATGTCTGTGTTGAGACAAAAGAGGCTGGGGTTAGAAAGAAAAGCAGAATTTGATTGAAATGTCTTTGGATAACAGATAAATATAAAAGGAATAAAATGCCATATTAAGACAGCTATTATCAATAAAAATGGACATTGAGCCTCTTCTCAATATATGGAAATTCCTGAAGAATGATGTCCAACTCTCTCAGATATCTCTCAGCTGGGTAATTAAGTAAGCCACAACCTGAAGAGATATACAGAATAAATAATCATAATAATCATATTAAAGTTGTCATATAAAAAAATATACTCACATTCTAACAGGAAAATGAGGCAAGAAAGGTAAGCAGTTAAATTTATTTTTTCCTTTACATTTTAACATTCCTTTTTAAATTCTGTGTTCTAAATTTTCTCCCCTCTCCTCTAGCCTCTCCCCTCCCCATTGAAAAGGCAAGCAATATATCAATCATACATATGAAGTCATACACAATATTATTTCCGTATTAGCCACATTGCAAAAAAAAGCAAGAAAAAATAAAATGCAAAAATATTTTTCAATCTGCACTCAGAGTTCATTAGTTCTTTCTCTGGAGATGAAAAGTATTTTTTTCATAAGTCCTTTGCAATTATCCTGGATTATTGTATTGATCACAGTAGTTAATTCTTTCGTAGTTGATCATCATTATAACATTGCTACTACTGCATACAATGATCTCCTGGTTCTCCTCACTTCATTCTGCCTCAGTTCATATAAATCTTCCCTGGTTTTTCTAAATTTAGCCTTTGTCATTTCTTACAATGGAATTCCATCACTTGTACAATTATACAGTCAATCTTGTACAGTCAATCCCAAATTGATAAGTATCCCCTTAATTTCCATTTTCTGCCAACACAAAAAGAGCTGTTAGAAAGATTTCTGTACATACAGGTTTTTCCTTCTTCTTTGATCTCTTTGAGACATAGACATAGTAGTGGTACTGATGGGTCAAAAGGTATGAATAGTTTTGTAGCCCATTTTGGCATAGTTCCAAATTGTTCTCCAGAATGGTTGGCCCAGTTCAGAGCTCCAGTAACAGTTCATCTGTGTCCTTATTTTTACACATTCTCTCCATCACTTGTCATTTTCCTTTTCTGTCACATTAGCCAATTTGATAGGTAGGAGGTGGTACATCAGAGTTGTTTTAATTTGCATTTCTCTAATTACTAATGATTTATAGCATTTTTCATGTGACTATTGATACCTTTGTTCTCTTCTACTGAAAACTGTCTCTTTTTTTATCCCTTGACTATCTATCAACTAGGGAAATATTCTTATTTTCCTAAGTTTGGTTCTGTTCCCTATGTATTTGAGAAATGAAACCTTTACCAGAGAAATTGCTATAATTTTCCCCCAGTTTCCTGTTTTCCTTCTAATTTTGGCTGCATTAGTTTTGTTTGTGTAAAATCTTTTTAATTTAATGCAATTAAAATTAACCACTTTGCCTCCTGTAATACCCTCTACCTCTTATTGGTCTTAAATTCTTCCATTATGCATAGATCTGAAAGATAATGTTTTCCATGATTCTCTAATTTGCTTAAGGTGTCACCTTTTATATCTAATTCAACTACTCATTTAGATTTTATCTTGGTATGTAGTATGAGATGTTGGTCTATGCCTAAGTTCTGCCAGAAAGCTTTCCAGTTTTTCCAAATGTTTTTGTCGAATGGCGAATTCTTGCCCCCAAAGTTTGGATATTTATGTTTATCAAACACTATATTACTTTTACTTCTGCATATTATGTATTTAATCTATCCCACTGATCAACCATTGTATTTTTATCTAGTATCAGATCATTTTCATGATTTCCACTCTGTAATATAATTTGAGATCTGGTACTACTAAGCTGCCTTCTTTCACTTTTTTTTTTCATTGATTACTTCGATATTCTTGACCTTTCATTCTTCCAGACGAATTTTGTTATTATTCTTCTAGCTCTATAAAATAAATAAAATAACTCATAATTCATTTTCTAGCTCTATAAAATAATTTCTAGCTCTATAAAGTAATCTGACTGATAAAAAATTGAATAAATATTTTAATTTAGATAGAACTGTTATTTTGATTACATTGACTTGGCCTACCCATGAGCAATTAACATTTCTCCTCTTGTTTAGATTTACCTTTATTTGTGTGAAAAGTATTTTATACTTTTGTTCAAATTGTCACTGGATATGTCTTGGCAGGTATAATCCCAAGTATTTCATACTGTCTGCTGTTATTAAATGGAAATCCTCTCTCTCTTCCTAGGGCTTTTCTTGGTAATCTATAGAAATGCTAATGACTTACGTGGGTTTATTTTGTATCCTGCAACTCTGCTAAAGTTGTTTAAACTTGTTTTTAGTTGATTCTCTGGGTAACTCTAAGTATGCCATCATATCATGTGCAAAGAGTGATAGTTTTGTTTCCTTGTCACCTATATTTTTTTCAATTTCTTTCTCCTGTCATTGCTATAGCTGGCATTTCTAGGACAATATTGAATATTTGTGAAAATGTATATGCTTGCTTCACCCCTGATTTTACTGAGAAAGCTTCTTGTTTATCCCAATTACAGATAAGACTTGCTTTTGGTTTTAGATAGATACTACTTATCAGTTTAAGAAAAGCTCCATTTATTCTTCTACTTTCTGGTGTTTTTAAAAATCCAAATGGGTACTGTATTTTGTCAAAAGCTTTTTCTGCATCTATTAGTATTACCATATAATTTTGTTGTTTTTGTTATTTATTTGGTCAATTTTGCTTATAGTTTTCCTAATATTGTCCTGCAATCCTGGTATAAATTCCATCTGTTCATAGTGTATCATCTTGTGAAATACTGCTGCAGTCTAATCGCTAATATTTTATTTAAATGGTTGTATCAATATTCATCCAGGAATTTGGGCCATAATTTTCTTTTTCTGTTATTGCTTTCCCTGGTTTAGATTAAAAAACCATATTTATGTCATAGAAGGAATTTGTTAGGACTCTTCCTTTACCTCTTTTTGTAAAAAAAAAATAATTTATATAGTAGGAGACTTATTTGTTCTTTAAATGTTGAGTAGAATTCATTTCTAAATTCATTCTGGTCCTGGAAATTTTTTCTTGAGGAGCTCTTTTACGGTTTGCTTAATTTTTTTAAGTATCATATTCCCTTTTCTCTTAACCTGGGTAATTTTTTTGTACGCATTTAACCATTTCATTTAGATTGTCAGTTTACTGGCATACAATTCAGAAAAATTCACAGTGCCAGCAAAGAAATTCTCTGTAATTTCTTTCTGACCCAGAAACTAATCCCTTTTCTGTCTACGGGTAGTGAGAACTCCTGGCACTATTGTTGCTGTTGCTGCTGCCACAGCCCCTAAAGTACTATCTTCCTAGTGAGCCCCCAACCCAATAGCACAGACTTCTCCTTTGAACCTCCTAAATTTGCCTGGCTTGCAAAAATGTCTCTTCCTGACCATTTGTTAGTTATACTGTTCCAGAATTCAATTTGACATGTTATTTTAAATTGTTTGGAGGGTAACACTGAGAGAGTTTGGCTGGAATGCTCCCTCTATTCTGTCATCTTGACTCCAAGCTGGCTGCTAAATTAAAAAAAAATCAGGCTAGCTACTCAGCACCAAATAGGGTCTAAAAAAAAGAAAAAAATCTAGAGGTCATAGAAAACTTCTTTAAAGTGACAATGTCAGTGTCATCTGATTGTCTTTTGCCCATATTAACAAGAAATTCCCCCCCAAAAAATTAAAAAAATTTAAAAAATAAAAAAAATTTATAATTTTTAAAAAATTCCAAGAGTATGCAGTTTGCTGAGACTTGGCAATAAGCCACATAACTTATTTCATCTGTCAGAAATAGTCATCAAAACAAGTAGAGAACTTATCACAATTTTAGACTTTGGGAGTAATTAACATGATTTATTGTAAATATAAAGGTAAAGGCAGCCACTTCAGAGAAGATTATAGGATACCATGAGATTAGAACGTAAGAATGATATAGAGTCACAGAAGAATTGGGTTCTCATTTTTGGTCTGCTACTATTTTTCTCTCCTGACACCAGTCGCTTAACCTGTTTGTGTCTAAGATTTGTTGTCCGTCAAATAGAGATAATGATACCTGCCCTACCTCACAGAATTGTTGTTGGAATTAATGTACATAAAAATGTTTTGACAGCCATAAAGCCCTATACAAATGCAAGGAACCACAATGATTTATATTTTATGTGACCTAATAAGTTAATTCCATTTGTCATCCCATTCATGTTCTGTCTGTGGATCTGGGAGCCTCCCACTGCTGCTGTCTCTTCCAATTTATTGCCTGTTTCTCTTTCTCCTGTTCTGCAACATGGACAATTCTATATGGAATTCCTTATCCCCTTTAGGCATCAAGTACATAGTCTTTCTGAGGTCTTCTAGGGGTTTAAACTATCTGCTAAGAAGAAATAATCAATACAACAAAGCAAGAGGAAGAAAAATTACAGTATCAATGAGCCTCACAGTAAAAGCTATTCCTGATACTCACTAAAATATAAAAGGTGTTAGGTTCTTTGGTCTTTTTTCAGTTGGTTCTGTACTTCTGCATTGCCTATTAATTATCAGGGCTTTCTTCCTTTTATCTAGCAAGAACTCTTGACCCCGGGCATAAATTCTCTTCCCTTGAGTTTTTTTGCCTCAATCATCTTGATTTTGCTATTGTTCCTCCAGGCTGGAAGAACAGCAAATATTTAATCACTACATTATAGAGGCCAGGACAAGCCAAGCCAGACAGACCAGGTTAGACCAGACCCCTGGATCTTCTTTTTAATACGCCACTTTTTCATAAAGGAGTTAAATATAGAATAGTTTAATCTTGCAGCTGTTACAAACTGAGATTTCTCTCTTTCTCTCTCTCCCTTTTGCCCTTCCCCCTGCATTGTTGTTCTCAGCAAAATCCATCTCTGACACCCAACTCCTCCCCTTGAGGTAAGGTAAGCACTGCAAGATCAGGCCTGGTAGAGGAAAGATGTTTGAGGAATAATAGCAAGTAACCATGCCTTTGGCTATAGCAGTACTTGCAGTAATAAAAGGAAAGAGCTTATTATTTTTTTCATTCAAAGGAAAGGGAAATCCTCCAACAAAAGTAGATGGGAATGGATATTTCCTGAGGCAGATTGACAGGGTGGCATTCTGGATACAAGTTGGTAAATTCATGGCCTACTTCTGTCATTTTCAAAAGTATTTATTGTCTAGTCATGAATACCTCTGTCCTAGATGCTGTAAATATAAATTATTACAAAATAAACATATGGGCATAGTCCTTATTCTCAATAATCATCTGCTATAGCACATTAAGGTTTCAAAGCACTTTTCTTAGTTCATTTGAGCCTTATAAAATCCTACTGAAGTAGGTAAGTATATGGGTATTAATAACCTCATTTTATAGATAAGGAAATTGAAGCTCAAATGAATAAATCAATAAGGACTTACTAAATGACTTGCATATCGTCACATAACTATTAAGTGTCAGAGACAGAATTTGAAATTGTCTGTCTTGACTGTATTCATCAGTGTTTCCACCACACTATATTGCCCAATGCAGGTTATATTTTAAAACTACAGTAATGAATTATTTTAGGAGGTTTGGGTAAAGTTCCTTTGTGCATAAAGATAACACGAAAATATCTGCATTGTATTGGCTTTGTTACAATACAGTCACAATTTTTAATTTGGGAGAATCAAAATTAGTTTGACTGAAAAACACTTAAAGTGGTTACATAATTAGAGTTTACAGTACAGTACCTTCCTGGATTTCTCCTTTGCACTGCGCTAAATAAATTGCCTCAGTCCATGCAGCAGGAAGATCTACATGACTACCCACACCCAGGCTGCTGAGTCCTAATCTTCTCTGTTATGGGGAAAAGAGTAAAACATGAAATGTGAAAAGTTTGTTTTAGGGGAAGGTCAGTCCGTTATGAAAAGTTACAGTAATCAACAGTTATATCCACAAAACCTTTCAGAGCTTTTCACCCCAAAAGAACAAAAAAAGATTTGTTAGTGTTTATTATCTGTAAAAATATATTTTTACAAAAGTTTACTTCTTTGAAATAATCTTTGATAACCCTAAAATTAGAAATATTGATCATGTGCCATATACTTCCCTTTATTATTTTTATTTTATGAATTTTCAATATATTTTATTAGTGTTAAAATCTAGATAACTACTCTCCTTATTTTGAAAATATCAGTATTATTATTGTTAATAGTGATTTATCAAAATTGATTATAGATCACTTAAATAACCGTAAACAAAGTACACTCTGAAGTCATTAAGCTTCATTTTGAAGCTTCATTAAGGCAAATTATGCATTTGTCTTCTTGTATTTATATTGAGTGATGTTAAAGTACTTATCTTTTCTTAATGAAATATTTTGGGCGAACACTCTGAGTAAGAATTAACTACTAACATAACAAGTGGCTTAAAAGTTCCCTGTACTTTCTTAAAGATCATAAATAAAAAACCTTGATAATTACTTTTCTGCTAATGCTGATAACATTTTCTTCTTGATTTTAAACACAAGTCAAATGGAAATTTTACATTTGGTACTTTAACATAAGCTTTGCCAAATCCAAGTAGCTATGTGACCGTGGGCAAATAAATTTACCCTTCTGTGTAACGAAGGGTTTGGATAATCTCTGAGATCCCTTCCAGAACTAACATTCTATGATAGCAATTGCTTTCTTTTAAATACACTATTTTAAAGGATTTGGTCATTCTTAAAAATAATTTTAGGATAATCCAGGTCTATCTTATCCCCTCCAAAAATTGTATCTGTCTTATTAAAGAAGCTAATGAAAAAAGAATAAAAAAATCTTTTTATTACAAATTTAGCTGGAAAACAAAATAAGTGTTAATTACCATTGTGGAATAAATGTCAAAGGGATAGAGAAAGGTAGTAATCCAAACTGGAGGAATTAAACTGTCCTAGAGTGACTGCAACCTCCATCAATACCCTACCCATTTCTTAGATGCCCTGTGTTGATCATATTTTAGCCAATATATTAGAAATGAAAATATGAAAATGGGGCAAAGGCATGGATGTTACAGTTAATTTATTGGAATACAATGAGGTAGTCTCTTTTTCATGTGAGTTGGAAGTTGATACCAGGCAATCCAAACAAAGGTCAGAGCAAAACCAGAATAGAGATACTCACTAGGACAAGCAAGCTGAGTTTCAGCGGCATGACAGGAAAGATAGTGTTGGATCAAAAAGGTGGACTGGAATCCAACAAACTGACAGGGTAGGAATCCACAGGTGGGTATAATTAGGGCCAGAAGATTTTGAACTGTATGAGATAATCTTGTCAAATTTCCTCATTTTACAGATAAGGAAATTGAGGTCCAAAGAGGTCATGCTAGCAGAGTGAGAATTTAAACCCAGGTTCACCAAAAATTCCATTGCTCCTTTCCTGTTACCATATTGAGTTGTACTAGGAATGCAAGCATACCAATAAGTTTCCCTGTAAATGTTGTTTTTCTAATAAGTAACTCAGGTTTCTTCAAATAGTCCTGATATAAGACAGCCTGGTATTAGGTCAATATCTTTATCTTCCTCAGTGCAAGAAAATGTAGAGACATCTCTACAACTTCAAGAGAGTTTGGGAGCTTTCCTAGGACCCCAATGAATATAATCTCCCTCAAGTTCTTGATTGATTTCCTGGCCTTAACTGAACTACTTATGAGTTTAAGGAAAATCTATTTTTCCCCTAATAAAAACTAATTGCTTTGTAAATTTTCGTCCCAAAAATGTTGTACATTATCAGTGATATGTCGCTGTAATATTGCCATAGTTATATATATCATGGCATCGATTTTAGAGGTAGAAGGGATCTCAAAGGTTTAGTTCAATGCCCACATTTTAAAGTTAAAGAAACTATGGATAAAAGAAGAGGAATGACTTGGTAAGTAGTAAGTAACAGAGCTAGGATTCAAACTCAAGACCTTCATATCCATAGCTCTTTCCAATCAACAATAAATCTCAGAAAAACAGACATGATGGCCTAAATACAAAGGAATTTTATCCAGTTGCTTCTTTGAACTAAGCAGCTATACTACCAATGAATATAATTTCATTTGGTGAACAAGATTTTGAACATAATCTTTGTGCTTTTTATAGGCCAGGGTTCCCTTTGCCAATCTCTACTGACAAAAATCATGTGCTTAACTTTGGACATTCAGAGTTGATGTCACTAATAGATTATATCCTGTTATCATTTCTGTGGAATTTGCATGTCATTTGATATTGAACAATTTGGTTATAATCTTTAACTCTGATCTTTATTCCTGACAATTTGTAATGAAAACAAGCAAATTATTATTCCAACTTTTTCTGCCAAGCTTTAATCATAGGTAAGCTGTCACAAAATGGAAGAAGAAAACCAAATAAACATTATAAAATTACCTTGCATCTAAATAGCATTTTTATAGCCTGGTCCTGTAAGAACTTCTTATCCTGTGGATTTTCGGTGTTATTGAATTTCTTGATGAACTCTTTTGTGATTAACAGAGGTTTTCTAAACAAGTAAAAAATGATTACGGTTATCCTTGCTGATTTCTAAATAATCAAGGTCAACCTGTTAAACATAACATTCCTAGAAAAAATGTTTTTCATTTACCAAAATAAACTCAAGGAGATCAATAATCTAGAATTATGAGAGTCATTAAAATTAGAAGATAAAGTAGTTTTAATGACTGTAAAAAGATGGAAAATTTCCAGTCACTCCTGATTTAAGAGAAATTACAAAAGACTAAACAGATTAATTCAAACACATAAAAATAAAGGTTTGTTTTTTTTTGCAGCAGAAAGAAATATGCAGGGCAAGAATGAAACAGACTAGGACAGAAAAAATTACAATAAACAATACAAAGTAGTAAAGGACCATAGTAATCTAGTGGTTGATAAACTCAAAGAGCCAAGTTCTGGGGGTCAAAATTCAACATTTGACAAAAATTACTGGAAAAATTGGAAAGCAGTTTGACAGAAACTAGGCATACACCAACATCTCACACTGTATACCAAGATAAAGTTAAAAATGGATAAATGACTTAGACATAAAGGGTAATATCATAAGTAAATTAGAGGAGCATGGAAAAATGTATCTGTCAGATCTATGGATAAAGGAATAGTTAAGGACTAAACAAGAGATAGAGGAGATTACAGGAAATAAAATAGATAATTTTGATTACATGAAATTAAAAAGATTTTGCACAATAAAAATTAATGCAGTCAAAATTAGAAGGAAAACAGGAAATGGAAAAAAAATTGCAACAAGTTTCTCTGATAAAGGCCTCATTTCTCAAATATATAGGAAATTGAGCCAAACTTTGAAAAATAAGAGCCATTTCCAAGTCAATAAATGGTAAAAGAATATAAAGAAACAGTTTTCAGTAGAAGATAGCAAAGTTCTAGAAAGCCTCATGAAAAAATGATCTAAATCACTACTAATCAGAGAAATGCAAATTAAAACAACTCTGAGAAACCACCTCACATTTATCAGACTGGCCAACATGACAGAAAATGAAAATGACAAATGCTGAGAGCAAATGTGAAAATAATTGCAACACTAATGCACTGTTGGTGGAGCTGTGAACTAGCCCAAATATTGTGAAAAACAATTTGAAATTACATCCAAAGTGCTGTAAAACTGTGCATACCATTTGATCCAGCAATACTCTAGGGCCTGTATTGTAAAGACATCAAAGAAAAGGAAAAAGGACCTATTTATACAAAAATATTTATAGCAGCTCTTTTTATGTTTTCTAAATAATTGGAAATTGAGGACATGCCCAACAATTAGGGAACAGCTGAATAAACTGTGGTATATGATTATGTTGGAGTCCTCTTGTGCTATTAGAAATGAGGGGCAGGATGGCAGAACCAAGATGGCAGAGAAAAAGCAGGAATTCCCCTGAGCTCTCCCAAATTCACCTCCACACAACTTCAAATGATACCTAAAAACAAATTCTGGAGAGCAAAACTCACAAAAAGGGTAAACAATTTTCCAGACCAAGACAACTTGGCAAGTTTGCTGGAAACTTGGAAGGTCGGCAGGAAATGTCTATCAAACTGGTGTGAGAGTGGGACAAGGTCCAATGCAGGCTGTACCAGCACAGGCCACAACACAGGAAACTAGCAGCAAGCCTTGGGGGTGACTGAATCTGCATGACAGTAGTTCTTCAGGAGCTTGCAGCCCACAGGCAGCAAGAAGATAGGACAATTGGTCAAAAGAAGATTATATGGGTCCCTTTGATGGGACTGGGTGCAGGAGCATGGGTCCAGACTGCATTCCTGCATTCCAGTCCCAGGGCAGGGAGGATCACTAGCATACTACAGCTTGTAGCAGCAGAGGAGCAGGAACCCTGGCCACAGTTCCAAGGCAGAAAAGAGTGTTTGTGAGCATTCATAGACCAGAGAATAGGCCAGGAGAGTCATAAAAACACCTCTCCTTAGATCACACCATCTTGGAAGTAGTGAAAGCTTACATACCTCCATAACTAACTCTGAAAAGTGCTAAACAAAAAACCTGAAGCCTGGGGCAGGGCCTCCCCCCTTCCAGGCTGAGAGTAGAGTCCAACTTTAATATAATGTTAAAAGACAAGAAACAGGCTAGAAAAATGAGCAAATAAACAATAAAAAAAAAAGAAAAGTTACTATGGTGACAAAGAAGCTCAAAACACAAACTCAGAAGACAACAAAGTCAAAACTGTTTCATTCAAAACCTCTAATAAAAATGTTAATTGGTCTCAGACCCCAAAAAATTCCTAGAAGAGCTCAAAAAGGATTTTTTAAATTAGAGATGTAGAGAAAAATAGGGAAAAATTGGGAGAATTGGGAAATGACAGTGATGTAAGAAAATCATGAAAAAAGCGTGAACAGCTAGTAAAGGACACACACACACAAATACTGAAGAAAATAACACCTCAACAAAATAGGTCAAATGGTAAAAGAGGCACAAAAATACAATGAGAAAAAATGCCTTGAAAAACAGAATGTCAAAATAAAAAAGATGTATCAAAATCAATGAAGAGAAGAACTCCTTAAAAAGCAAAATTGGTCAAATGGAAAAAGAGGTTAAAAAATTCTTTAAAAAAAAAACTCATAAAGCAGAATTGGCTAAATGGAAAAAAAGGTACAAAAGTTCAATGAAGAAAATAATTCTTCAAAAATTAGAATTGAACAAAATGAAGTTAATGACTCCATGTAACATCAAGAACTATAAAACAAAGTCAAAAGAATAAAAAAATAGAAGAAATGTGAAATATATGATAGGAAAACAACTGACCTGTAAAATAAATTGAGGAGAAATAATTTAAGAATTATTGGACTATCTGACAGCCATCAAAGAAAACCTAGATATCATCTTTCAAGTAATAATCCAGGAACACTACCTTGATATTCTAGAACCAGAATGTAAAATAGACATTGAAAGAATTCATCAATCATCTCCTGAAAGAGATCTCAAAATGAAAACTCCTAGGAATTTTATAGCCAAATTCCAGAGCCCCCAGGTCAAGGACAAAATATTATAAGCAGCAAGAAAGAAACAATTTAAATACTGTGGAGTCACAGTTAGGATAACACGAAATTTAGGAGCTTGTGCATTAGAGGATCAGAGGGCTCAGAACATGATATTCTTTAAAGCAAAGGAGCTAGGACTATAACCAAGAATCAACTATCCAGCAAAACTGAGAATAATCCTTCAGGGAGAAAATAGATATTTAATGATGAAAAGACCAGAGCTAAATAGAAACTTTGACTTTCAAATACAAGACTCATAAGAAGTAGAAAAAGGTAAACAGAAAAGAGAAATCATAAGGAATTTAATAAGGTTAAACTGCTTACTTTCCTACATGGGAAGATGATACTTATAAATCTTAAGTACTTTCTCATGATTAGGGCAGTTAGAAGGAGTGTACATAGACAGAGGTGTGTTGAATAGGATGAGATGTCTGAAAAAATAAAATTAAAGGGTGAGAAAGAGAAATGTACTAAGAGAAGGAAAAAGGGAGAGATAAAATGGGGTAAATTATCTCACATAAAAGAGTCATGAGAAAGCTTTTACAGTGGAGGGGAAGATAGGACCTGCAGGAGGGGCATTTGAACCTTACTCATCAGAATTGGTTTAAAGAGGAACAACATGCACACTGAGTTGGGTACAGAAATCTATCTTATCCTCCTGGAAAGCAAGAGGAGAACGGGATGGAAACAGGGTCATGGCTGAAAGAAGGGCAGGTGGATTGGGGGAAGCACTTGTTGGAAGCAAAACACTTTTGAGAATGGACAAAGTGAAAGGAGAGAGAAAATAGGATAAACAAGGGGGTGGGAATAGGATGAAGAGAAATACAGTTAGTAATCATAACTTTGAAAAAAATCTTTACGGCAAGTTTCTCTGATAAAGGCCTCATTTCTCAAATATATGGAGAACTGAGTCAAAATTATGAGAATACAAGCCATTCTCCAATTGATAAATGGTCAAGTGATATGAACAGGCAGTTTTCAGATGACGAAATCAAAGTTATCCATAGTCATATAAAAATGCTCCAAATAACTATTGATTAGAGAAATGCAAATTAAAACAACTCTGAGGTGCCACCCCACACCTATAAGATTAGCTAATATGACAGAAAAGGAAAATTACAAATGCTAGTGGAAATGTGGAAAAATTGGTACACTAATGCACTGTTGGTGAAGAAGAGGCTAGAAATAGGCAAGAAAGGCACTTTAATTAATTCAACCATTCTACAGAGCAATGTGGCACTATGCCCAAAGGTCTATAAAACCACATGCACCTTTTGACCCAGCAATACCCCTACTAGGTTTGTGTCCCAAGGAGATTAAAAAAAAGGAAAGGGGCAATATATACAAAAATATTTACAGCATCTCTTTTAGTGGTGGCAAAGAATTGGAAACTGAGGGGATGCCTATCAACTAGGAAATGGTTAAACAAGTTGTGGTATATAATTGTGACAGAATATTATTATGCTATAAAAAATGATGAGTGGGGTGCTCTCAGAAAATACTAGAAAGACTTACACGAACCAATGCAAAGTGAAATGAAAACAACCAGAACAACATTGTACGTAGTAAAAGCAATATTGTACAATGATCAACTGTGAATGACAGCTCTTCTCAGCAATAAAATGATCCAAGACAATTCTGAAGGTCTTATGAAACATGCTATCCATCTCCAGAGAAAGAACTGATGGGGTTCTGAATGCAGATTGAAACATCTTTTTTTAAACTTTATTTTTATTGGGTTTTTTTTGTTGTTGTTATTGTTCTGTGTTTTCTTTCACAACATGACTTTTTTTTAAATGACTGGACATGTATAACCTATATCAAACTGCTTGCCTTCTCAATGAGGGGGGAGGGGATAGAGGAAAAAAAAGAATATGGAACTCAAAATTGTTTTAAATGCAAAAATTGTTTTTATATGTAATTGGGGGGAAATAAAATGTTCAATAAATAAATTTTTAAAAAGGAAATAACAAGCAAGATGATTTCAGAAAAGCC